TGACAACTAACAACAACTCCTGAGCCTTGACTGTCAAAGGTAATGGTATTTAGCCTGCCAAACTCCACTGGAGGCTCCAGGAGGAAAAAGAGGTTTAGTTCTTGCTTGGCAATGTTCTCTGCAGAAACCAGACTGGTCTGAGAACCCTTTGCAGAGGGACACTCCACAAGCTTTGCCTGGTCTTTCTCTTGACTTGCTTGGTGGTGGTGGTGGTATGTGGCTCTGGGTCCTGTAGGATTGCCAAGCTCCCGAGATGGCCAGGTATTTCCTCCTGACCCAGCCCCTTTCTCTGCCCGCTGCCCCAAGAAGGCTCCAGCTTCCGTCCCCTGTAAGACACAGTGAATCCCTTCTTTCATACCTAAAGCCAGCCTGTGGGGGACTGCCCTTTTGCAACTTCCAGGTGCAAAACCAAACCAAACCTGTTGCCATTGAGTCAATTCTGACTCACAGCAACCCTACAAGACAGAGTAGTACTGCCCCATAAGGTTTCCAAGGCTATAAATCTTTATGGAAGCAGACTGCCACATACAGCCTTCTCCCTTAGAGTGGCTGGTGGGTTTGAATCACCAACCTTCCAGTTAGCAGCCAAGCACCAGGGATCCTTTCCCATAGGCAAGGGGAAGTTTAAATCCTTTTAACTCTTAGCACTCGAGCCACTTCCCCAGGGAACCCCCTCCTAGTCCCTGCCATGTGGTTTGTGCCCTTACACCCCACTGTTCTCCTCACAGTTCTCTGGTTGTAATTGTATACTTGGGTAATTCTAGTAATTTTCCCCACCATCCTTGGGTGGTGCAAAGGGTTAATTTGCTTGGCTGATAACTGAAATGTTGGAGGTTTGAGTCCACCCAGAGGCACCTCAGAAGAAACGCCTGGAAATCTACTTTCAAAAAGTCAGCCATCGAAAACGCTATGGAGCACAGTTGTACTCTTACACACGGGGGTGCCATGAGTTGGAGTTGACTCAACAGCAACTGGTTTTTTTTAGTTTGGTATTTTGCCCATGAGGTCAGGGTTGGGTCTCTTTTTGTGTCTCCTTGTGTCACCGATGACTGGAACAGAGCCTGGCACATCGTAGATGCTCAATAAGTAGCTGCTGAGCAAATGAAGGAATTGCCCAGAACGGTGGGCAATCGCCTGCTTGCTGGATGTGAATAATGATGAGAGCAAGAGAGACTCCAGGACGATGGCTAGCGATGGCAGGCTCTGGGGACACCTTGATTTTAGGAGTTTCAAATCCCACCAGGAAGGAATCAGAGCTCCGGACATCATTTCGTTCCCTGCCCCATTATAAGTGATGACATCGAGGTCCAAAGGTATTCAGTGACTTGCTCAAGGTCCTGCAGGTAGGGGTAGAGCTGAGCCTCAAACACTGGATTCCTGCCAGTGGGCTCCAAACCTAGCACTGGTTCAGGAGGACCCGGGCAATATTATGGGAGGGTCCTTTTTCTCAGTGTAGCATGCAGGTAGGTGACTGTAGCAGAGGGAGAATCTTGGCTTCCTGCTCACCTGGGGCTTACTGCTTCTGCAAGTCAAATCTGATTGCATGTTGGGTAGACAGTACAGACTGGGAGCCCTTGGCCTTGGGTGGGAATCCTAGCTCTGCCACTCACATGCTGTGTGACCTCAGGCTGGTTACTTCATGTGTCTGGGCTTCAGTTTCACTAGCAGTGAAACAGGACAAACACACCCTCCTCTGCAGGATGCTGTGAGGGTTCCTGAGAGTGTGTGGAGGCGGCCTGGACATGGGACGCAGAGGAAGGGGGCAAGAGAAGCGGGGGTTCAGGGAAGCTTGGCAGGTGATGGAGGCCTCTCCCCAGGGCTCCATTCTTACCCTCGGCCCCTCCCCGGGATAATGCCTCCCACCTCATTGCATTGAATGCCTGCACCTCCTAGCAGCCCCAGGTTAACTGCTGTGCCCCAGCTGACGAAGAGCATCTCATTAACGCCAGGCAGAAGCTCATTAAGACTGTGAGCTGTGCATCAGTGCAAATGAAGGTCAAGGTTCTTTTCATGGGAGTTAGTGTCTCTGGATCCCGTGGCGCCAGAACTCACTCATGAGATGAAGGGGCCTTATTTGTAGGCAGGTAGCAGCCAGCGGTGTGGCCCAAAGTTCCCCCGAGCTCCCAAGTAGCCACCCATGTCCTTCCCTAGGTCTTGCCTGGGTCTCTGCCCCTGGGGAGGGGAGTATTGCCGCCCAGGAGCGGAACAGATTGGTCACCATGCAGGGTCTTGAGGGACCAGGACAGGTCATTTGAGGAGGAGAAAAGACCTGTGGTTTGGAATGCCGTCCACTGAGGGGGAGTCCAGAGAGCAGCTGTGGCGGGCAGGGGCCTGTCTGGCCATGTGCTGTGGGTACTCGCTTCTCCTCCCTGCACCCCAGGGCGTTCATCTGTTAAATGGGAACCCAACTTGCAGGAGTCATGAGGGTCAACGAGATGGTCTTGAGACCTGTACAGACTTGGGGGTGGGGGACAGTGTCATCAAGGCCCTGGCCTCTGCCATCCTTATTTCCAGCTGTGATCAGCCTTGACCTGCCAGCCCAACACCCCACAGCCATCTGACCAGACAGAGGCCAAGGAGGCAGAGGGCTGCTTTTTAAAAGCCAGGAAATGGGCTAAGTGAGAGTTTCTTGACCAATGGGCATGATTTGGATTGTGTACAAATTATATGCAAATGACCCACCTCCACATTCAAAATTAGGTTATTGGGAAGGGCTCAAGACAAGGACTGGGAGATGTCAGTCCTTTTTCAAAGCACATTTTGGGGTGCCTTGTCAATTGCTGGAGCCCTAGTGGCACACTGGTTAAGAGCTCGGCTGCTAACCAGAAGGTCGGCAATTCCAATCCACCAGCTGCTCCTCGGAAACCCTATGGGGCAGCTCTACTCTGTCCTGTAGGGTCACTGTGAATCAGAATCAACTCGACAGCAATGGGTTTGTCGTCAATTGCCAGTTCCCGCCCCTCCCATTATCTTGCCTGGGTCCTATGAAGCAGTGCTGGGTTTGGAGCCCACTGGCAGAGGCCCCCACAGGAGGGCTGCCCAAGGCCCTGGGCGGAGACCAGCCTGAGTCCCCATCAGTAGCTTCACAGTTGCGTGGTCCAGAGCTCAGCCCTCCCAGTGGCCAAAGCCCTCCTTTGTTGGGGAGGCGGGATCCGAGGGTTCAGGCTTCACGAAACGCCACTGGGAAAATATTTCAGTATGAAGCATTGCACAAATACAAGCTTTTCATTCCAGGTTTTCCAACCACAGGCCTCTTGGTCTGACCACCAACCTGGGCTGTCCCCTGTAACTGTCATCCCTCTTATAAAGAGGGGTGCAGCACCCTCATGGTTGAGGGCACACCCCCTACCCTAGTACAGGCTGGCTGCTGGGCTTAAAGCCTGGCTTCCCCGGGCACTGGCTGTGTGACCTCGGCAAGTCCCTTCATCTCTCTGAGCCTTGGTTTCCCCATGTGTAAAATGAGGACGCCAGCACCGATCCTCAAGGTGAAGGAATGAACTGGACCCCAAGAAGAGCATCTGGCATAGGAAGTGCTACGTGTCTGGTGGCATCATTAACTGCTTGATGTCTGTCTTCACTACAGATGGGGAGTGCAAAGGTCTGACATTCCCTCAACTAACTGAGCATTGTCTCTGTGCCAGGTATGCATTAGGTATGGACACACAGTGCAGCGTGTCTGCCCTTCTCCCCAGCCTCCAGTCGACATTTACAAATGAGGGGAGCTGGCCCGGAGACCAACATCGATAACTTCTCTCCCACTGCCAGGGCCCTTCCCAGCCAGGCCCAGCCTGTCAGCTCACTAAAGCCCAGGGGGCGCTGTCTGCACCCAAGGAAAAAGATCCGTGCCTAGCCCAGTGTCAGGCACACTGGAGATGCTCAGAAATATCCCACCCTGGAGCCGGAGGGCCTCTTAAAGAAAGCAGCACCTTTGAGTTCCAATGGAGCAACCCCCGAGGCGGCCCGCTGGCACCTCCACCCTACCTCCCCATTCTTCCGGGCCCAGTCCTACCCTTGGTGCCAGGTTCTGCTGGGCAGCGTGCAAACACTGAAGTTATTTCAATCTTAAGAATATGATGGAGCCAGAAATGCTTCAAATGCTCGTGTTAATGGCGGTGGTCTGCAGTTTCATTTCACTTCAAAGGAACCATCTTCTTAGAGCAGGAGGCAGGCATGGCCAGTTCCTCCCGCCAAGGGCCATCCTCCTCAACATAAACCACCTCCAGAGTTGGGTGGGGAGATGGGGGCTCAGGTCTGTGAGGAAGGCTGTGCTGGGGCTCCACAAGTCCTAGGATGGGTCTTAGAGGTGCCCCTGAGACTGGGGCTGGGTCCCTCTGTCCTCTCTGGCCAGGACCAATAGGGCTGGGGAAAACCATAGGGCCATCCAGCATGGGCCGGCTGGCTGCCGTGAAGCTGAAAAGAGGGTAGGAGGGGCGAAGCCCCTGCCCTTGAACCCACTGTGCTCTTCCTGCAAAGTCCCCAAGGAGGGGTGGGACTTGGGAGGCAGCTCTGGCTTGCATACAGAAGCCCTGGCTCTGCAACTGACCCAGCTACAGGTCAGTCACTTTGCCTCTTGGTGCCTCAGCTTTTACATCTATAGAATAGGCAACCCTGTAACACCCCACATCAGAAAGTTGTTGTGAGCACTGGGGCAGTGTGAGTGCTTTGCAAACAGGGAGGATCTCTACGAAAATGTTCTGGCCCCCGTGGTGACTGGGGGGCCAGGGCAGGGCTGGCCTGGTGTGGCTGCCAGCAGCCTGGCTGCCTGGGACAGTGGCCAGCTTCACCACCCAGCTCTGGCTCAGTGCTGTGATGAAGGCAGTGTGGGTCCACCTGGCACGGCCTTAGCTCCCATGCTGGGCCACAGGGCGCCTCCCAGCCCAGGCCTGGGAACATAATTAGCTGGAGCCAGCTGGAACACAGTGTGCTTCTGGGGTCCAAGGACAGCGCCTCGTTTGCCTCCCGCTGGACCACACAGTGTGCAAGTCAGGCCTGGTGTAGGGCTATAGGGAGGCCCCAGTGGGCAGTGGGATCTTGTAACCATGATGGAGAAGCACAAGGCAGGCGCCCAGCCCCAGGGCCCCCGCCAGAAGCACAGTGCCCAGGGCTTTGAGGAAGGAAGTCCTGGTGCGGGTGAAGGAGCCGGGTGCCATGATGCCAAGCAGGGCGGTGCTGACGGTGAGCGTATAGAGGATGGAGACGCCTGTGTTGAGCGCGACAATCTTGCCGAATTTGGCAAAGGGGGCGATGATGCAGAAGAACAGGGGCACTGTCGCGATGACCGTGGTGAGGGCGCTGGAGACGATAGCCACGCCCACGTGCCGCACAGCCTCCAGTGTCCGCCACTGGCGTTGTGAGCGGGGGTCCTGGGGGCAGGTGAGAGTGGAAGCTGGGGACCCAGAGCCTGGCACACCAGGAGACCCCCTCCTCTGCCCAGGACTTAGACCCTGGGTAAGCACACACGTCTATCAAGGCCAGCCCTGCCCCGAGGCCTCTGATTCCCCCTCTAAGTGGGGGGAATGACAGCACCTGCTGCAGAGGGTTAATGTGAGGATGAAATGATTCCCACACGATTGCACACAGCGCACAGAACGGCCTGCTCAATGTTGCTATGACAACGAGGATGCTGATGATTTGCATAGTGGGTCCTCATAAATGGGACCCCCGAAGTGATCTGATTTCATTCTTTTGACCCAAAGCAATTAAATGTGTAAATGACTGATTTAAGTTTTACACATTTATGAATGTCTTCATATCAACACAATTCCAAACTAGGGAAAAAAAAAAACCTTACCAGACCCAGAAGTGGTTTTGGCACTGAGTATATTGCACGTGCTCAGAGCAGTCTCTGGGTGGTGCAAACAGTTAAGTACTTGACTATGAGCTGAAAGGTTGGTGGTTTGAACCTACCCAGAGGCGCCTTGGAAGAAAGTCCTGGCGATCTGCTTCTGAAAGGTCACAGCCTTGAAAACCCTATGGAGCAGTTCTACTCTGCACACTTGGGGTCACCATGAGTTAGAATCGACTGGATGGCAACTAACAAGGGACTCAGGGTCATGACTAGATAGCCACGCCTGTGTCTCAGGCCGGAGAGAGGGCTGCTGATGTGGAGAGGTGAAGCAGAAAGGACCCTTGGACATTATCTGGTCCAGCTCCCTCAGTGCTCTCTCGGGGAGACTGAGGCTGGGGTGGAGTGGACCCATTCAAGTTCCCACAGAGCTCCTTTGGCCAAGTGGCCTTAGCACTTGAGTCCCCTGGGGCTTGGGGATCAGCCCTGGGAAATCTCTGGTTGGGGGTGGGTCCCTGAGCTGCACCAAAGTGAGAAAAGGCCAATTGAGGGGTAAGACAGGCAGGGTGCAGGCAGGGTGCTCACCTCGACCTGGTGAGGGGGCAGGTTCTCTCCGGCCAGCAGGTAGCCCTCAACCAGATGGACGCAGTAGTCCACGGAGGAGCCGACCAGGATGGACAGGGAGATGGCCTCCACAGCGCCCATCTCCCAGCCACTCCAGTACATGATGGTCACCACCAGGCAGACGATGCCTGCAGGCAGGTGGGGATGGTGGTGGAGGCAGCTCGGCCCAGCCCCACACACACAGGCCTGGAGGGGTGTGGGTGAGTTCAGAGGGCCCCTGGGGAAAGGTGAGGTGTAGGGTAAAGCCCCCACCTCTGGGGACAGGAGGGACAAGGAGGGTCAGAACCAGAGAGCCAGGCACCTGGGCGAGGGAACAGGTACCCCTGAGACAAAAGCTGTCATCTGGCAATGCTTAGCTACCCTGGGGGAGCACACAGACATGTCAGTGGGACAGCCCTGTGAACGGCTGTCTGAGAGAAGCCGTACTGAGCAGAAGGTCTCTTTGCCTGGGGTAAGGGTGGGGGGTCAGGGAGGGCTTTGCTGAGGGGGAGACTTGGCAGTTAAGGTCCTAGGAACTTGCTGAGCTGAGGTCACCAGCGAGACCCGTCTGCTCCTGGCCCCACGGCCCGACGTGCCCCACCCCCACATACCCAAGACACTCAGGAGCACGGGCAGCAGGAGCAGGATGTGGGTGGTGAACACGGCCACCGCAGCAACACAGATGAGCAAGGAGAGGACCAGGCCATACAGGGCGCTCTGTACCCCTGGAAAGCGGGACGAGAGGGGTCCTCAGTGGGGCCGCAGGTCCTACGACTCTGCTTCACCCCCTCCCCCAGTTCAGGGGTTACTGGGGTTGCACAGATGGCCACAGTCACAAGCTGTGTCACTCTGGGCAAGCCACTTGACCTCTCTAAGCTTCCATTTCTTCATCTGTAAAATGGGGAGAATAATAGTACCTACCCCATAGACCTTGTATGTAGAGTTTAAAGAGAGAATTCAGGTGATGCCCTCAGCACAGGGGCTGGCACCGAGAAGTGGCTCATAAGTGACAGCTGCCATCCGCTCCCCACTATTATTCTTTAGGTGGCCAAATTCAAGACCAGAGAATGTGGCCGGATGCCCCAGAGCAGGAAGACTCAACCTGTAGCCTCCCGATCAGTGTTCCTGTCCCTGTGTCATCATGGTATCTAGGGTCCTTGGCCAAAGCTGAGAAGGTGGCTAGAGTGTGGCTTGGACAGGCCACGCCCTCTGTGCCCCTGCACCAGTCTCCTCCTCCTCACTCGCGGATGGACTCTGCATTAGCCCCGCTGCCCCGCCAGGCCCGGGATACAGGGGCTGGGACCCACTCGCCTATGATCTCCATGAAGATCTGCTTCCAGTGCTCGCAGGTCTGGAAGCCGTGGCGCAGGGCCGAGCCCTCAGGGAACGTCTGCAGCTGCTGCTGCAGGAAGCTCTCCCAGCGCAGGTAGTCCGAGTAGGTCTGGAAGGAGGACTTGCCCTTGTACGTGGTCTGTGGGGAACATGAGCTGGTGAGAGAGGCCGGGGGGTGGGGTGCTCCTGTGCCTCATCCACCCTTCCAAAGTGATGGCTAGTCTGTGCTGCAGCCAACCCAGCCAGCCCTTGGCCACTTGCAAATGGAGTGTGTTATGTATGTGGGTACAATGGATGATCCACTCCAAGTTACCTCCCACCAACCTCTGGATGCACGTGATTCTTACAGCAGCAGACTGAGATGCACCCAGTGTCCACTAAGCCACCTCTGTCCCTTTCCAAAGGAGCCACATTCAGTTCCCACAACCCCGTGTCCATGTCCCATCCTCTGCACAAGCTGTTCCCTCTGACCACATCCTTCAAAGCTCACTAGTATACCATCTCCTCCAGGAAGCCCTCCTTGATGCCCCAAGATGGGCCTCCTCTGGGCTCTCCAAGCCCACAGTGCTTCCCCAGCACAGCTCTTGTCACATGAAGGGTGACTGCCTGTCTTTGGGTTGGACTGTGAGCCCACGAAGGCAGGGAGTGGCCTGTCTTGTTCACAGTGTCCTGCCCCAAAGGGGTCCAGGGAATGGCAAATGAAAGAAACACATGCTCACTCCACTCTGACCTTTTCTATCTGTTCTCTCGGTTACCCAATTCTACTCTGTATGGGTGGTGGTGGTGGTCACTTTGGAAGTGGCCCATTGAGGCTTGTCGGGGAAGTCTCTAGACCCTTCCTGGCCAGTGGCCAGTGGCTTCATTACTTGTGCAATAAGAGGCACAGATGGTGGGAAGGAAGACAGGGCTGGGGGCCAGAGATTAAGTGTTGCCTCTCACTTGTAACCTTCTCATTAGTATTATTCCCCAGTGCTTTCACATGCTATCTTGTTGCTTCTTCTCATTAATGGCCAGAGGGAGGCCGGGATCTTTAACACTGTTTTATAAATGAGGAAACCAGCTACTATTGAGTCAATTCCGAGGCGTCGTCCCTGGGTAGTGCAAGCAGGTAACGTACTCAGCTGCTAACTGAAAGGTTGGAGGTTTGAGTCCACAGAGGTGCCTCAGAAGAAAGGCCTGGTGATCTACTTCTGGAAAAGCAGCCACTGAAAACCCTATGGAGCACAGATCTACTCTGATGCACATGGGCTCTCCGTGAGTTGGAATCAGCTTGATGGCAACTGGTTGCTGGTTATAGCTGAGGAATTTGAGGCCAGACGGGCTGAGTGATTTGCTCAAGGACACAGGGCACACGAGGATCACACAAGGACTAGGACTGAGTCTCCACAGGCAGGCAGCGGGGCAGACCTGCCCAGCTTCATAGAGTGAGGGGCCAGGACCAGAGGCCCCGCAGAGGCCCAGGTCAGGGGCTGGGTGGTGGTGCCTCCTTTGACAGATTCCAGGGGGTGTCCAGAGGTGACAGAGGCTCAGTCAGGCGTGTTGGGTGGCCAGCTGCCTGGCTTCCAAGGAGCTCTCCTATCCCCCAGCCACACTGGGGAAGCCAAGCACCGGGTCTGTGGACCAGACCCCAAGCCTCCCATGGTGACAGAAGGCCATGTCCTAGACTTACCGTCCCCCACGCCCACCTGCCCCTAGAGTTCGGAGGCTGCAAATGACATGGACCCTGGGGCTGGGGGGTGTTGAAAATTGAACTGTGTCCCCCCAAATGTGTAGTATTCCTGGCCCTTGCACCTGTGGATGTGATCCTGTTTAGAAATAGGGTCTTCTTTTGTTACGGTAATGAGGACATACTAGAGTAGGGTGGATCCTAAACCTAATCACTTCTGAGTTACAAAAAGAGCAGGTTAGACACAGATACACACACAGAGGGAAGACAGACGCCATGTGAGGATCATCTACAAGCCAAGGAACGCCAAGGAACCAAGGAACACCCAGGGCTACCGACAAGGAAATAACAGACATGGCTGAGACCCTGATTTGGACTTTCAGCCTCCAGAACTGTGAGAAAATAAATTTCTGTCCTTTAAGGCCACCCACTGTAATGGCAGCACTAGATAACTAAGATGGTGGGAGGGATGGGTTGTGGGGAGCTGGAGGGCAGCCTGTGTGGTAGAAAGAACAAAGCTCTGCAGTCAGACAGATCTGGCCAGCAATTGATACGGGCACTCACTAGCTGTGACCTTGGGCAAGTCACGTCACCTCTCTGGGCCTTAGTATCCTCCCCCGAAGAGTGACCCCTCTGATAGAGTGACCCCTCTGATATGTGACTAGTGGGTATCTGAGGGGACTACATGAGACCTGAGACCTGCACTCCTCATGGTGCCCGGCCCCCAGCCAGGCTGCCTGGGCTCACCGACTCGAAGGCCATGGAGATCCACTGCACGCGGCCCTCCTTGACGCCCACCGCCCCGTGGGACAGCTGCCCTGGGAGCAGGTTGGGCTCAGGCAGCTCCTTGCATTCAGAGTGCAACATCTGCAGGAAGGAGGAGATGCTGTAGCCTGTGAGAGAGGGTGAGAGGGGTTCAGGAGGTGGTTGGGGCAGAAAGATGGGTCCCAGAGGGAGACGGAGGCCTGGAAGAGCATCCCTTCCCCACCCCATCCTCCCTGTGACACTGTGACATCTGTGTGTGGGCGTGGGGGGGGCCACTCTGGCTTATGTCACTTATGTTAAACCTTTCAGATTTAACAAGTAGTTGTGAACACCGGCAATGTCACTATGAAACCTGCAAGGCACATTTGTCATTGGGGTGGAAATGACATTTTGTACCCATTCAGGGAGAGTCCCTCCTCCAATTCTGGAAAAGCCACTCCTGCAGCCAGGATGTGCAGATGCACCTATGAGCGTCACACACATCCCCACCCACGCGCACCTCTGTGCCATCATGCCCACGCACAGCCCGCTCTCATCCGGACAACCCCTGGGTGGACGCATGCAAGCACAGACATGTCCGCAGAGAGACCCACACACCGGGCACACGTGTCCTTCAGGCTGTCCACACTCGGGCCACGGCCTCCCCCACCCATGCCCCTCCCGGGGGAGCCGAGCCCAGGCCCCGAGCACCTGAGGGCAGGCACTGGGCCCCACCCGGCTTCACCAGCTCTGTGTTCCCTGCGATGGCCTTGCAGAGGTGACACAGGTTCCCAATTTCTTTGAAGAGGTCGAAGCTGCCGTCGTAGATGACGCTGCCCTTTCCCAAGGAGACATAAGCCAGAGTGGCCACTCAGTGAGACGGGGCCTCAGCCTGGGCCCGCCTCATGCCCCACCTCACCCTGCCTCACACCCCGCACCTGGTTAGACACTTCAATAGTGCCTCATTATCATCAACACTATCATGTGGGGATCCTCGGCATGATCACCCACTCGCCCCTCAACCGCACTCTCCCTGCCCCGACCTGACACCTTCTGCTTCCATCACTGCCCACCCTGCACAGGCGCCTCAGCCCCCTCACCCACTGTGCTTCCGCTCACACTGTTCCTACTCGGAAGCCCCCTCTGCTCCTCCCACCCATCCAACCCAGTCCTGTTCTCCAACGTCTCCCTTGTCTCTTCCCACCCCCTCCTCTGGACACCTGCCACCTTACACTGTCAGGACTGAACACAGATCTCTGACTCTGCCCTGCTTCCTAATTAGTTCATGTCTGAAATCTCTGTGCAGCCAGCTGGACTCTGCTTGCAAAGGCAGGAGTGCGCCCACCAGTTCTTCCTACCACAAGCTCTGAGCACCCGTCACGTGCTAGTCACTGAGGACACAGCTCAATCAACTCCCCTCTATCTCCCCGTGTACGACAGAAACAGGCATGAGAGGAGGGAGCCCACACAGAGTGGAGGGCACCACAACCAAGGCTCGAGGTCAGGGCTGTGGGGCACAGAGGGCAGCCTGCTCCCGGGCCAGAAGGAGGGGTCAGGAGAGGCTTCACACACTGGTAGTTCCCACGCCTCTGTTCCAACCCCTAATGTGAGGAGCAGCAGCCTGGGCCCGGAAGTGTACCCAGATTCCTGGTTGACCCTCAGAGGTCAGCCCCGCTCGGTCCTTGAGAGAAACAGGGCCTCCTGGGTACCCATGGGCATTCTGCCTAGGCTGGGTGAGCCAGGAGGGGGAGTGAGGAGCCAGGCTGATGGCCCATGGGCTGGTACTTGTTTGCAAGCCTGCGGTAGTGGGGCCCTTCCCGCTGCGCAAAGCGGGCCAGTGTACCGGGTCTCCGATGACATGGTTGTCCACTTGCCGGGTGCGGTTGATGCCGATAATGCCAAAGACCACGAAGACCATGGCCCCTGTATCCACCAACGGCCGCACGGCGGGCTTCCCACAGCCTGTATTCACGCAGGGGTTGAAGCCAAAGGTGGCCGAGAGGTGGGCCTTGGGGTCTGCAGAGAGGGAGACACAGCTGTGAGGGAAGGTGGGGCCCAGGCCCCCCAGGCCCCAACTGTAGTGCTCCTCACATGTACCTTTCTCACTGGGCACGTAGAAGAAGCCTCTGGTGGGACCATCGGGGCTAGAGCTGAGCAGGCAGCCAGGAGGTGCCGTGCACACGCGCCCATGGAAGGGGGGCTTGTGGGACTGGGCAAAGTAGAGCTTCCTGTGGAGGCAAGGGAGGCTGGGACTGAGGCCGAGCAGGCAGGAGGGGTCAGGGGAGGCTGGGACTGAGGCCGGGCAGGAGGGATGGGTCAGGGGAGGCCAGGCACACATGGATACAAGGGGCTGGGAGGCGCAGGGGTTGTACCCAGGCTCTCCCCACACAGGATGTGGTCTCCAGTTGGGGCTGGAGCAAGTGCCCAAGGCTGGGTGTTTGGAGGGCGGTTCTAGATCTGCCAAGGTCACTGCAAGACCCTGGTCAAGGACTTTCCCCTCTCAGGGTCTCAGTCTCCCCATCTGTGGCATGAGGTGTGGAGGAGGCCAGCAGTTTTCCAAACGTCATCCAGGGAGTGTAAGAGTCCACAGAAGGGCCTTGGGAGCCCCTGCTCAGAAGCCCCTGACCCTGCCTCAACCTGAACAGTAAGGAGCCTCAAGATTTTGCTTAAAGAAAGGGTTCTACAGCCAAAAAGCTTGCTAACCATTGGACTTGATGCTCCTCAAGGTTCTTTCTAGAATGTTCTAAGCTCACTAGACAGCCTGACCCTTGGTCACTGATATGTCTATGTTCTGGGCTCAGAAGGGGGCAGGCAGAGGTATCCCCCACCCCACCCCAGGTGTGCCAGGCTGGAAAAGGCCCAGCGAGAGCCATCTTGGCCATCTGCCTACCTCCAAACTATACCCTTTGGCCCCAAGCCAGAGTTCAGCCTTGTGTGGGTGCTCGATACCCTGAAGACAGTCCCCTGCCAGAGACAACATTCCCAACACATTGCGGGCATAGGGCCTGGCACTGCTGGTCTCTACCCCTATGGCACCAGGTGTTTCTTTCAGAGCACATATAGAGACTTTCAGAGCATTGCTGCTGATGTGCTGTCTGTCCTCCTGCTGGACGGCCTGAAGGCAGGAACCACATCTGTCTTGCTCACTCCTGTCTCCTCAGCACCAGCCCAGTGCAGGGCATACAGTCAGTGCTCAAGAACAAAGGATGAGCCCACAGACCCTCGGCTAATATGGTCTGCATGGATAAATGAACACAGGACCATACTTGGAGCATGGGGGATGAAACCTGAGAAAAGGTGCCCAGCTGGCTTGGAGACATGCGAGGCACAGAACTCATTCATTCAACAACTACTCTGGGGACACTTACTCCATGCCAGGCAGTAGGCAGGGGCAGAATATACCGTAGATAAATACAACAGGCACAGTCCCTCCCGTCAATGGCCCTATAGTCTAAGGGAGGGGAACATTAAATAAATATTTTCAGAATGAATCATTAGAGTGTAGACAAGAGCCTTGGAGAAGAAGTACAGAGTGTACTCATTCATTCATCCAGCAAATATTTATTGAGAACCTGCTATATGCTAGATGCTGGGATGTCAGCCTCAAACAAAACAGCCAAGGCTCCCCTGCAGAATGCTACGTGCTCCTGAGGGAAGACAGATGGTAAACCAGTAGAATCAGTGTGATTTTAGTGGGTGATGGGGGCCAGAAAGAGCAGCTGGGTGAAGTGTGGAGAAAGACTGGGAGTGCCTATTTCAGATGGGGAAAGGTTCTGGTCAGGGTTGGCCTCTCCAAGGAGGTGACATTTGAGCAGGGATCTGAGTCTTGAGAAGTTAACTACACGAGGAGCTGGGGAGAGTATTCTAGGCAGAGGGAGTGGCAAGTGCAAAGGCCCCATGGTGGAAACGTGCTTAGCCTAAGACGTCTATGGAGAGATCAAAAGGGAGAGTGGCAGATGGCGGGTGGGGAGGAGGTCCTGGGTCTGCCATCTTTGCCGATGTGCCCTACTCCCCAGCCCTGGGCAGAGAAGTATCTGGACAGGTATGCAGAAGTAGACAGGGGTCTCCTAAAGGTGTCCGCTCGCATCTCTGGTGTGTGTGTGTGTGCGTGTGTCTGTGTGTGTGTGTCAGAGAGAGACAGGAGGGCAAACAAGTGGGCTGGGCTGGTGGACTGGGCTAATCTGCAAGGCTGTTACTGGCTGTGCTGCTGTTCCTTGGTGGCCACGTAGAAGCTGAAGTCAAATTTCCAGCCCCGCTTGGCGTCGCAGGCCAAGGTCGTCACCATCCACTTGCGGGAGGGGCTCGCCGCCTGGAGCAGCCCTACTGTAGACATACAAGCGGTCAGCTTCTTGGTGAAGTTACCAAAAGGCGCTCTATACACCTAAGCAGTGGATTGACAGAGACAAGACACGTGACTCCGGGGGGCTGCCTTGGCCTGGGCCCAGCCTCAGGCTCCATCCCTTCCCTCCTCAGCAGGTCCCTACCCTATCCCAGCCCCCAGGGTAGGGAATAGAGCCCTGGGCAAAGGTTCAGGAGGCCTGGGTTCAAGTTTGAAGACTGGGTAAATCCTTTCCTCTCTCTGAGCCTCATTCCCTCCTCCACCAAATGTTCACGGGGCATCGAGTCTGTGCCAGACATTGCGCAAGGCTCCAAGGATACAGCTGTGAACACTGTGGGCACAGTCCCTGCCGCATGGAGCTGACAATTACGATGGCTTCAGATTCTGTTAAGGCTATAGATCAAATACTTAGGAAGATAAAACAGAGGATAAATGGTGGGGGGCGGGGAGGAGTAGAGGGCAAAGCAGAAGTTGGCCAGGACAGCTCCATGAGGATAGAGGAGGCAGTCATACATTAAGCTGGAGGGAAAGGTTTCTAGGCAGTGGGAACAGCCAATGCAAAGGCTCAGAGTCAGGAAAAGTCTCAGAGACCTCACCTTTCAAATGAAAACAGAAGCCCTGAACAAACGAGATGGCACATGTAATGTGTAACTGTGACGGGTGTAATGTTTTAAAGAAACACAAATGATCTCTAAAAGGGAAAAACCAGAGCCTGGATTGGCCCTTGGAGCCTGTGCAGCAGCTGCCAAGAGTAACCGTATTACTAACGGCGACCATTTATTGAGCACTTACTATGTCCCCAGATGTTATATACTGTACAGGCCTTACTTCATGTACCACCCAACAGCCCTGGCTAGTACTTGTCATATCTCCATTTTACAGATGAAGAAACCGAGGTTTAGAGAAACTAAGCAATCTGCCCAAAGATAGACCATTTATAAATGGCAGTGCTAGGACTTGAACCCAGGTCTGGCTGACTCGGAAGCCCATGCTGCCACAGACCTGGATGATGGGGGTGGGGTGGGTCTCATCTGCCTGGAGCAGCTCCATCTGCACAGGCCCTGCTCCCCCTCCCCACATGGCCCAGTGCCTACAGTGCTGCCTTGAGATGTCCCCTCCCCAGTAGTGGCGGTTCACTTCACGACAGCCTGGGCTCACCTGGAAGGCGGGCACCTCCCCATCCCCGGAGGACACGGTCTGCCAAGGGGCAGGCAGGCTGGTGTTGAGGGAGAACCTGTAGATGGCCGGGTGGCCTTTACTCTTCACCTTGGAGACGTACACAGTGCCCAGGGACTCTAGGGAACAAAGGCGAGATGGAGAAGGGGTGGACAGTCACCTCGATTGGCTCCAACCCTGGAGCAGAACACCCTTAGACTGTCCACTGAGGAGCTGAGCCCTGACCTTGGCCTCATCTCCCAGTGCTGGCTTCAACCCTCTCTACTGGACCAGGCAGGTGACAATGATGGTGGGGGTGGTGGCTTGGATAGTGGGAGTGACGATGGTGGTGGAAGTTGTGAAGATGTCCAGTGAGGGGCCAGGGTCATGGCAGAAGTGCCAGTGATAGGGACAACAGTGTGAACGGTGCGGCTGATGCTGTAATGACAATGGTGGGGACAGAGGTGGTGAGAATGGCCATGGGTACACTCAGAACTGCCTCATGCTGTGAGGGGAGGGGGGCTAGTTTCCATAGTACACTGTCCCCGCATCCACTCCTAATAGAGACCCTAGCAGGGACAAGCCAGCCTCTGGGGCTCAGGATGCCCCCTCTTCCTGCCTCCCCAGGATACTCAGGATGGGTTTGCCTGCACGGTGGGTTCAAGGAGCACACAGGCCAGGTTAGGGGCAGAGGGCAGGAGGGGACCTCACTGCTGTGGCCCAGGAAAGCCCCTGGGATGGAGGGCTGGAGCCTGAGTTCACTCCCCCAGCTCCTCCCTCCCTCACAGGCCCAGTAACAGGCTCTTCTCCCCTGGGGTCAATCTAAGTATGGATTTCATCCACCCAGTACCAAGCCTCACACCCAGCACCAAGGGGGATCTCCTGACACCCAGCCCTGCAAGCTCGCACTCCTCACTGACCCTGCTGGGCAGCCTCAGGCCGGCTGGCCCAGGGAACCCCCGAGCCCCGCTTCCTCTTCTCCAGGGACGTCCGGATGTTGTTCTGCAGGCTGTGGGGCTTCTCCTGGAACAAACCTGCCCCCCACACTACGTCAGGGATGGCAGGGCTTCCCTGGCTGGGCCAGGCTGGCCCTGAACCCGGGGGAGGGAAGGGCAGAGGCTGGGATCTGTGACAGCCCCAGGAACACGCCCCCAGGGTCCTCAGCCTTGGGGAGAGGGGGTGTCAGAAGTCTGAAAGAAACTAGAAAGAACTGAAAAAAAATCAAGTATAGACTTTACAGACATCTTAAGCCAAAAGAAAGGCACCAGCCAATCCAGCCCAGAGAAAGACACTCTGAAGCTTTCCCTACTCACCCTCCCTGTGCCTCACTCTCCCCCTCTGTCAAATGGGCACCTCCCAGAGGGTAGCTGAAGGCCTAAATGAGATGTTGTATCTCATGCCCTTAGCAGTGTGCCTCGTACATGATAAATGCTCAATAAACAGAAGGAAGTGGAACTGGAACGTTGTTACCGAGCAGGGATGATGGAAGACAGTCTGTTTTGCCCCAAGCATTGTGGATTAGTTGTTTGGATTTTTTTTTTTTTTATTGTTGTTTGGATTTTTTAATGAAAGAAATTTTACAGTTTCAAGTTTTCAATCCTCATGACAATTCTAGGAGGTCGCAATTATTAACCCCATTTAAAAGCGGAGAAAACAGAGATTCACACAGCAAGATCACACAGCTTGGAAAGAGAGGCAGAGTCACCATTAGAATCTGGTCTTGTCTGCTCCTAAAGACAAAGCTTTTTCGGTTATGGCCCGTCCATCAAGTCAATTTGGACTCACGGTGACCCCTATGTGTTTCAGAGTACAAACGTTCCATGGGGTTTTTCAATGGCTCTGATCTTACAAAATCAGACCGCCAGGCCTTTCTTCTGCCGGTGATATGGAGTCCCTTTAAGAGGGACTTTAGGGTCTTGGGGTGGGACTCTGGCTAGGAGCCTCGTGCTTCTCCAGATGTGGTCCAGGCACTTTGGGACCATCGTGATGTTTGTCCATCTGTGAAACGGGAGCGATGTGGTTTCTTGCCTCCAGGCCCTGAGGAATGGCAGAGGCCACGAGCAACAGTGATATGGAGTATAGTTTGTTGTCAGGCAGGTGGGGAGAGGAGCTGGGGATGTGGCCGGGGCTGGCTCCAACATAGGAGGTGCTCATCAGGCACCTCTCTCAGCTGCAGCCAATTATCATGCATTTGGCTAATGCCATTACCAAGGGGAAGGCCAGGTTAACCTGAACACCGCCCTAATTAAATGAAGGCAATTACAGCAGTCAGCAGAGCTTCTCCCAGGAGCTGGAAGCGCTCGCCCAAGCATCTTCTCGTCTGCTTTTTAAATACCCTGGCAAAGCTGTGGGACCTTGGGTCAGCTTCCCCACCTCCTACCCGACCTCAGGCTCCTCTCGGCAAAAGGAGGGCCTCGACCAGACTACCTCTAAGGCGAGGAGGCTTCTTTCATTCACCCCCTTGCTCATCCCCACCACCTACTCTTGTCACCAAGTCCCATGGCTCTCACCTCGAAAATTTTCTTGACCCCACCCCCACCAGTACCCTGGCCCCAGCCCCCACCACCACCTCTCACCTAGACGATTGCACCAGTCTCCTACCTGGTCTCCCCGCCAGCTTCCACCTCTGCACAGCACTAGGAGACCTGATCACGGCTCTTCTCAGCTTAAGTTCTCCACTTCCAATGACCTTGGCCTACCAGGCCCGGGCCCAGCCCACCCAGCCAGCCTCACCTTCTGCAACGACCCCTCTCAAACTCAGCCCTGGTCTTTCCCACCTCTGGTGCTCCCCTCAGCTGAGGGCTCTTCCTTTCTCTCCCCTCCCAGCAGCCTGGCTAACTCCTTCCCATTCTTCAAGTCTTGACTTAGACGTTACATCCTCCAGGAAGCCTTCCACGACGTTGTGCTTCCAAGGCTCCCTGTTCCATTACACTGGCCTGTCCCTACCACTGGGATGTGACTTTGCTGAGCTCAGGAAGCCTGCCTCTCCTGTCTACTGCAATCCTCCCAGAGCCAGTGCATAGTAAACTAAAAACTAAACCCATTGCTGTCAAGTCGATTCTGACACACAGCAACCCCTCGTATTACACAGTAGAACTTCTCCATAGGGTTTTCTTGGCTGTAATCTTAATGGAAGCAGATCACCAGGGTTTTCTTCTGCAGTACTGCTGGGTAGGTTCAAACCACCAACCTTTAGGTTAGTAGTCGAGCGCAAACCGTTTGCGTCACCTACCCCAGTAAGTATCTGTTTAATGAAATGTGGAAGTGCTTAGGCTCAGCGTTAAGTGGTTTGCTGAAGTCACACAGCAGTGGTAAGCCCAGGCCTTGCACTGCCCAGGCCAGCAGTCCTTGAGACCTGGACTCCAAAGGGCGCAGGGACCCACGGGAGACACCGGGCTGGAAACCCTCACCTGAGCAGGTGATGCAGGAGATGCCCTCTGCGCTTAGGTTGTACTTGAGGTCCAGCAGCACCTGGATGTTGGTGTCAGGCCGGAAGAGCAGCGGGGCCCGGCTGGCGGGACGGAGCCGGCTGGCGAACACCAAGGACAGGATGAGGATGGAGACAAAGAGGCCTGCAAGGACAGGGCACGCGGTGGGCGGGCTGGGGCCCTGGCAGCACACTTACAGCTGGGGCCCCCCAGAAGCCCTGGGAAAGAGCCGCTCCTTTTATGGGAGGACAGAGGTGTCACAAGGGAGTGAGCAAAGGCCCAGCCTATCAGCCTAGGGGTGGAGCTTGCTAGGGATGCACCTCCAGGGATAGCTGGCTATTACATACGACGTTACTATAAGCTCTAAGCTAATACTCCTGGACAAGAACCACCCACCGTCTTGTTGTTGTTATTAGCTGCCAACAAGTTGGTCCCCAACTCATGATGACCCTATGTGTAACAGGTTTGAACCACTGTGATCCATAGGGTTCTCATCAGCCGATTTTCTGAAGTAGACTGCCAGGCCTTTCTTCCTAGTCTGTCCTAGCTTGGACACTCCACTGAAGCCTGTTCAGCATGACAGCAGTATGCAAGTCTACACTGACAGAGGGGTGGTGGCTATGCATGAGGTGCACTGGCTGGGAATCAAACCTGTGTCTCCCGCATGGAAGGCACGAATTCTACCACTGAACCACCACTGCCCTCCCTTCTCCCACCATCTTAGAGCACTCTAAGAGCTGCCCCATTCACTTGACCCTTACACAACCCTTAAATATTGTTGCTGCTGCTGCTGCTGCTAGCACTTAACATTTATTGAGCGCTTACTTTGTGTCACACACTTGCCTAAACTCTTTACATACACTATCTTGTTGAATCCTTACAACTGCCTTACTAGATAGATACTATTACTCTCCCCAGTTTGCAGAATAGGAAATTGAGGCTTGGAGTGACTGATACAGCCAAGGTTGCACAGCTCCTACGTGGCAGAATTGGGATCCAACCCAGCTGAGCTGCCCAGCATGATGACTGGCACACAGGAGGTGCTCAATAAGCAGCACCTATCGCGAGGCCAGCTTCATTCTACGCAGGAAGAAAGTGAGGCTCAGGGAGTGAGACTCCAACCCAGGGGTCTGACTTCTAGTTCATCTGCTGGAAGGGGTGAGTCCCAAAGGGTGGAGGGATGTCAGACTCTAAGCTCTAAGCTAACACTCCCGGACAAGAACCACCCGCCACTTGGTTGTTATTGTTGTGCGCTGCCATCGAGTTGGCCTCCAACACAGGGTGACCCCCTGCACAATGGGATTGGACTGCTGTGATCCACGGGGTTTTCACTCGCTGATTTTCACAAGCAGATCGCCAGCTCCCACAGCTGAGTGATGGCCTATCGTTTGGGGGAGGCTGTCCCCCACTCCTCAGGCCCTGGGTGGGGTTGTGGGACAGAGGGGAGGGAGGGGTGGAGTGCCCACTTACCCATGATAACCCAGCGGCTCTTGACAGCCGACCACAGGACCCAGTGGTGCAGCAGCTCCTGCAGCTGGGCGATGAGCTGGCCCCGGCTGCCCCTGTCGGGGGCTGGCTGCAGGCCCTCAGGGGACACAGACATCAGGGATACATCTCCCAGCTCCAGCGACACTGCCAGGGCAGAACAAGGGCCCGTCAGAGACCTGCCCAGACCTGAATCAAAACCCACCCTGGCTCCCTCCGCCCTCTCCAAGGCAGCCCAAGCTCTTACCTGGCTCATCTTCCACACTCAGCAAGGGGATGTCATCATCTAGGTAGGGGATGGGGCCCTGGGCAGGGCTGTCCCCTGCCTGCTCAGGAGCAGCAAACACATCCCTGGGAAAGTGCAGAGAGCTCTTGCGACTGCAGTTCTGGTGGCAGCTAAGGAGAGAGGGGGAGGGGTGAGCCCAGAGGGTCCTGAGCAACCAGGGAGGGTGGGGCCAGGCCCCCACTATCACACCACTGCCCACAGGCTCAGAGCCACCCCCATCCCACACAGGTGAGTCATCATATACCCCTGGGAGCCTGCCGCCTGACTTCCTTCCAGAACCATTCACCCAGAGCCCTTCGGTGCCATTCTTCCTCTGGGGAGACAAATGGTGGCAGCAGCCATTAGCCAGGGAGAGGGGATAACAACACACAGTGGGCCACCCACTGAGAAGGTGACCAAAGCAGGGGAGTCACTTCTCTGTTGTATCATGTGGCCCACAGAATACTCTGGGGAGCCGGAGGAGGGGGAAGCAGGGCAGGGCTGATATTCCGGGAGAGGACAGGCCCCTCCCCTGACTTGCCCCAGCTCACCTGGTCTGACAGGACCTCTCCAGTGGCGCCATGTAAAGGCTCCAGATGCCCAGGGCGGCAGGCATGGTGAAGAGCACGGCCAGCCAGCAGCAGGACACGATGAGAGACATGAATAGCCCAAAGTCGTGGACGGCGGGGATCTGGGACCAAGAGGTGGAGGGGGGTGGGGGCTGGTCAGGCCCAGACCACTCCCAGAATGAGGAAAGATGAAAAGGCCTGGGATGCTAGCCACTGGCCTAGGGAGGACACCAGAGGCCAAGGGCTGGGGCCAGGCAGGAAAGCAGAGGAGGATGGGTCCCCAACGCTAGAGTGCAGGCTCCTGCCTGTGCTATAGCCCACCACCTGGAACCATGCCTGGCACATGGGAAGTGCTTGACAGAGGAAGAAACAGCCCCTCAGACCAGGCCATGTTCAGGTGAAGGGGAAGGGAGAGGAGGTGCCACAGGATGGACGCAGGGAGCCCGGGGCCCAGGAGCAATGAGTACACGCCAAGCTGTCACAGGGACCTGCGCAGGGATGTGCTGGTCAGAAGAAAACCATGACCAACAAGCCCTTCACTGTGAGACACATTCACAGTCCCCATCTATTTCAGTTCCTGATGAATCCACATAAGGAAAATGATGCTCAGAGAGGTTACACAACTTGCCCAAAGAGCCAGTAAGTGGCAGAGCTGGGATTTGACCCCAGCTCTGCCTGCCTTCAAATCCTGTGCCCCTTCTAGGCCACCTGGATGTGGTTCTCCAGGAAGCCCTGGATAATCCCAAAGCATCTAGTGGTTTCTATTTGTGAGGCACAGTGTGGGATACTCCAGCCAAGTCATAAAACCAAAGACTTGAGCAGACTCACCACCTTTCAGGTTCTGTCAGCACCAAGGATCCAGCCCAAACCCAGTGCCGCCTTCTGAGCCCAACTCAGAGGCTGAGGGAGCAGTGGGGCCAATGAGAGGAAGGTCAGGGTGAGAGACAACAATTTAGCATGAGGCGGGAGGTGAAAAGACTTCCAGACCACGGGTCAGGAGACCTGGTCAGGCTAACCACTTACCAGCTGTGTGACCTTGAAGAAGTCATTTTTAACTCTCTGGGCCTCAGTTTCTATATTAGGAGAATAGGTTTGGTACTTGTACCTTTGTCATAGGTGTTATGATGATTAAATATGAACGAGCTTTGGAAACTTAACCGTCGGTGTGGAAGTTGTATTACTATTAATGAGCATCAATAACAAATGATATCTGTATTATTATATTTTCCCACTTGTTAAGTTCTGCTAATGGGTGATTAATAACAAAAATGGACTCTAGGGACTTGGCAAGTCCTTTGGAAAAAAGGCTGCTTGGTGCAAGAGAAGGGACCAGGGCAGGCAGAGCAGAAACCAAGGCCCAGCTATGTATGGGGGAGGGGGGGTTAGGACAGGATGTGAGGGTGGGTCTCCCACCTGGGAGAAGATGTTAGCTGCATAGGCAGCGGCCGTGGTCAGGGAGGTGAAGAAGGTAGCCTTGCCAGCCGTCTGAATGGTGTGGATCATTCGTAGCTGCGGGTCTTCTAGGTGGGTGGCCTGGCGGTAGGTGTTGATGAACACAAAGACGTCGTCCACACCTATAGAAGGGAGTCCCGGGCCAGCACGGCAGGCTCAGGATTGTGCTGCTGCCTCCACAAACAGGGCTGACCTGAGCCTAGACCAGCCCTGAGTGGTCCCCTGGGAGGCCAGCAGGAATAGTTCTGCTTCCCAGCTTGGAGTTTGGAAAGACCCATCCCACTCTGGGCCAACCCCCAGGAGTCTAAGCCCCATCCACCATGCTCCTTGGCCCTACCCCAGAACTAGGTCCCTTCTTCTAAATTTCAGCCTCCTTCCCACCCTTCCAAGACATTTTCCACCATTTCTAACCTCTACGCAGCAAACCTTCCTGCTCCTCCTACACCTTGAGGGCTCCACCCACCATATGCCAAGGATCCTTCCACTGCTCATACCCTACCCCCTACACTTCAATGCTCTGAGAACTCAGAGGGGACTTTTTGGAGCCCCCATGGAAACTAGGATTTGCCTTCAAGGAGCGGCTCTCTTTAGGGGAATGGTCAGAGTTCCTAAGTGGGAGGTCCACTGCCATGGCAACAGAGGCAACTCACCAATGCCCACTATCACGAAAGCAGCCACCCCGTTGAGGATGCCCAAGTACTGGATGCCAAAGACCACATGGTACAGGAAGAGTGCCACCAGGCAGCTAAGGCCAATGCTGGCAATCCCAAAGAAGGACAGGAACACTGTGTAGGGCAAGAGGCACGGGGGGATAAAATGGGGAGGGCTCTAGTGGGACAAAAATCCCCTTTAGTGTCCTTGACCTTGGCTGAGTCCTGCCTCACCCCACAAAGCCACCTTTCACCACCCTGTCTGTCCCCAGCACAGGCAATAGGACAATTTGCATTCTCCATGCCCAAAGAAGGGGCAGGGGAGGAGGCCTGAGGGGCATATGAAGTCATCTCTGAACCCCCAGACTAAGTTGCCCATGGGACCTCATTTTTGCAGAACTTAGCTTAAGTGCTAGTATATAATTATAAACATTATACGTTTAGTGTTTGTTACCCCAGTTAGACTAGAGGTTCCATGGGGGCAGAAACTGTGTTTGTTATGTGCATCACTGGATCCCCGGCCCCTTAGAGCATCTGGCACATAGTTGGTGCCCAATAAATATTTGTTAAATGGATGAATCAATGTGTTTTCCATTTTAAAAGGTATTACCATCTCTCATTCACCTGAGCAATTCAGAATGCCTATTCTACACAGCAATAAGCAGCAGCTAGTGTACCTCGGGAGGCAAAGGATGTTTGGCAGTGAACTGGGGAACAAAACGGCAATAGACATGAGATTGTAAAACAGGCTACAGAATGAGCCACAATACCCTAGACTCCTCAAAACAAGGTTACCAGTAGGAAAAAACTTCAAAGGTCAAAAAGCCAAACTGTGACGTCCTGGGGGTGGGGCCATTGGGTATAGCCCAACCTGCCACTGGACCTCAGTCTACCTGCCTGGGGTTGGAGGATGATTTCTTAGCCCCATCTTCCCTCCCCCCACGTTCTGACATGCTGAAGTCAAGACTATTTCTGGTATTGTGGAAGAAGGCCAGACATGAGCAAACCGGTAGGAGAGAAGGGTGCTGGCTCCAGGTTGGGTCTTTAGGGAAACCATACCTGAGCAAGAGGTGAGAATATAGACGAGGGCAGCGATGCAGCTGCTGCTGATGAAGGCCAGGAGCATGTCATTGTTGAAAGTTCTGCGTACCTCATAATCAAAGAGGTCTGTTCCCCCATATAGAACCTGGACTTTGCTGGGGAAAGGAGGATATGGGGAGAGGAGAGATGGGAAGGTGATTAGAGATGGCTGTTAACACTTAGAGGAGGACCAGGAGCTATCCACCTCACCAGCGGTTCTTTACATTAAAATCACCTGGGGGCTTTCAAAAATCCTGATGTCCAGGCCATACCCTAGACCAATTAAATCAGAATTTCTAGGGCCAAATCATCAGTGTTTTTTAAATCTCTCAGGTGATTCACCTTAAATCTCTTGGGTGTATGATCAAGGGTGAGAACCACTGCTTCGGGCTGATTCAATTAGCACCATAGCCTATGCTACCTCCGAATTCTCAATTATCTACAGTAAATTTCTAAATTAAAATTGGCTTCCAGCCATTCAGCTTTACACTGCTGTTCGGTTTGCAATTAACAGAAGTTATTTTTAATAAGAAAAAAAATAACCAGGCTGGTCACAGTGGAGTTTAAAATAAAACAGGAGTGACATATGCCTCTGGCCAAGATGAAGAAACAGGGACTAGATTCACCCTCTCATGGAAACAAACATGAGAAAATATCTGAACCAAGAAACACTGGACATCAAAAAACAAAGCACAGTGATTCCTGAGGATCCTATGGTTACTCCAACTTACTGCTTTGGAAGTTTCCAGGTGTCAGAGCAGCCTAATATATGGGTTATTGGACTCTTAAAAAGAGGGGGTTTATAGAAAAATATTTGAAGAAATAATGGCTGGAAAATTTCCAAGCTTGATGAAAATGATAAATCCATTGATTCAAGAAGCTTGAGCAATGGACCTCGAGCACCAAAAATAAAAATACAATGTACTTCATAATCAAATTGCTTGAAACCAGTGATCAAGGGAAAATCTTAAAAGCAGCCTGGGAAAAAAGACACGTTACATATAGAGTAACAAAGATAAGGATGACAGCAGACTTCTTGTCAGAAACAATGCAAGTGAGAAGATAACAGAGCAACATCTTTAAGATAATGAAAGAAAAAAATTGTTAACCCAGAATTCTGTACACAGCAAAAATATTTTTCAAAGACAAAGGTGAAATAAATACTTTCTCTGACATACAAAACTTGAAAGAATTCATCTCCAGTTACACCTAAACTACAAGAGATGTTAAAGGAAGTCCTTCAGGCAGGAGGAAAATGATAACATATGGAAATATGGATATACACAAAGGAACAAAAAGCACTGGAAATGGTAACAACATGAATAAATATGTAAAGCTTTTATCTTGGTATTTAAATCTCCTTAAGATATAATTGACCATTTAAACAAAAATAGTAACAATGCAGTGTGAGGTTTATCACATACATAAAAGTAAAATGTATGACAACAATAGCATAAAGGCCAGGAGGGGAGACATGAGAGTATATTATTTTATGATTCTTATACTATATATGAAGTGGCATAACATCACCTGGAAGTACACTAGTAATTTAAAGATGTATATTATAAACCCTAAAGCAACCACTAAAATAACAAAACATAGAGTTACAGCTAAAAAGCCAACAAAGGAGATAAAGTGGAAAAATAAAAAAACACTCAATTAGTCCCAAGAATGGAAAAAGGGAACAAAGGACATATGGTACAAATAGAAAACAAATAAGAAGACAGACCTAAGACTAACCATATTAATAATCACATTAAATGTAAATGCTCTAAACACCCCAACTGAAAGGCAGAGACTCTCAGATTAGATAAAAGAGCAAGACCCAGCTGTCTACAAGAAACTAACTTCAAATATAAAGACACAAGCAGTTAAGAGTAACAGGCTGGAAAAAGATACAGTGATTATTAAGGGGGCATGAGGGAACTTTTGGGGTGAAGGTCTTGACTGCGGTGAAGGTTTCGCAGATGTATACATATGTCAAAACTAATCAAACTGTAAACTTGAAGCATGTCTGGTTTATTGTATGCAATTATACCTCAATAAAGCTGTTAAAAAATACAAACAGAACATTTAAAAGCCAAGTAGAAAGAACGTTGGACTATGTACTTTGTTGGATTAAATAGGCTAATTGCTCTTTAATTAAAGTAGAAAATTGAAAGTTGAATAATTCATTTCTTCATTCATTCATTCACTCATTTGTACAGTATTTATAGGGTGACCTGTAGGTGCCAGGTACTATCCTAGTTGCTGGCTATAAAAAAAGCACATACCTAAAGTTTTACTCCTGAGTAAAAAGGAATAGCTCATGGCAAACCATTTTTCCTACCTAAAACTACTAACAAAGTCAGATAAAATTCAGAAATCATGTGTTTGAAGACAGCAGAGAGTTGCTGAGGCAATGAGAACCAGAGGACTAAGACTCCAAAAGGGGAAGAACCTTGGGAAGGTAACCTGTTCTTCTTTGGAAGCATTTGCTGATTCTGGGCATGGGCAGAAGTCTGGAAATCTTGGCTGGGAGTAAGATAAACTAGCAGAGCTTTTGGCAGAAACTTACAGACCAGCAGAGTATATGGCTGCATGGGGGCAAAACCTAAGCAGAAAGCCTCTGAAAAGCAGAGTGGAATTTTTCAGCAATTTTGAGAGACAAAGATTAGAGACTGGGATCTTTAAAGTAAAGGGTCTCTGCAGAATATACCAGGATCTCAGTTGAAAATCCCAGAGAACCAAGGGCAAACTGGAGGTAGACTGAGATTTTTCAGGGCAGCAAACCAGCCTCAGCTCAGTGCAGTAGCTGACTGTTTAAGGTGATCAGCCACAACTCTATCTGCCTAGCGGAGGGAAGGATAAACCTTCTCTGGAGGAAGATAACATCATTTGGACCTCTACGTATTTTATACACAATGTTCAGCATTCAATAAAAAATTATTAGGCATACCAACAGATGGGACCATATGACCAAAAACCAAGTCAAAGTAGAGACTACAGAAACAAACTCACAGGTGATCCATACATTGAAGGTTAGCTGATAAGAACTTTAAAAAAACTATGATTAATATTTTTTTAAAAAATACAGAATATGCTACCAAGACCTTCACCGGACTGAGTCCAGTACAGCTAGATGGTGCCCGGCTACCACCGCTGACTGCTCTGACCAGGATCACAACAGAGGGTT